TATTCAACAGCTTCAAACCAGTGAAAACCAGATACTGAATAACTTTAAATGAGCTAAGCCTCCTAGGGGAAATGGAGAACAAAAGTCAGAGTCTATTAAAATTGTTCCCTTCTTTTCTAAAAGCTGTTTATGCAACCACACGCAAAATAAGAATTTGAATGGTATCATCTAAAAATAAGAATTTCAAGCATGATGCTGGCTTCTAGTTTACAAGAGAAAACGTTAAATCAGCCATAGCTGCCACTTCGTCTTATAAATGCATTTTCCTAGACTTCTGCTAAATATTTTAAATATAGCTGACAGTGTACTTCAAGAAAGGAAACAAATTATACATATAGTAAGACATCAAAAAAGAAATAAAAGTATCTCAAAAATAAAATGCAACAGCAGAGGCAGCCCTAAACCTCTTGAAATAACTTCAAGAAACGTGGTAGAAAAACCTACTTTATGAAATGTTTTAAAGAACAGAGACAAGTTTATCTTGGGAAAATCCTGACCAAAAACTAAATATTCAATGAAAAAAAAGTAACCAGAGTAGTTTCTTCCTCTGGGTTAACAACGGTATCCCTGTTGAGTATGAAGCATTTGTACCTTGTTTTCTCTACCATGTGCTAGTAATCGAACTAGTAAGAAGATGAATGTGTTAAAACTGGCAGTTTTTCAGGAGGTTTTCATTCTATTCCAAGTCAACAAGATGTTCCTTTGTGCATGATTTTTCTCAGGCAGGCTTTCCTTTTTTTAAATGAAATTTCTTTCTTTCTACTTTTTTTTTGCCTTCCTGCTTGTTTTTCTAGAGAAAATGTGATCTTCTCTCATATGTTAACCTCACTGAGACCCTTACCTCATGCTTGTCAGGAGCGATGAAGTTCAGTTGGCAGTTTGAGTCATACAGGATGGAGAAAGCAAGTTCAAGCACCTCCTATAAGAGATTAGAGGAAACATCGCATTAAGGGAATTGGCACATTCGCTTTGCAGTTACAAATGGCTGCGGATTGCACGTGGAGGAAGGCTTACAGTGTCCAGAGGAGCAGTGGTTAAATGAGTTGTCCAAGGCCACACAACCCCAACTCTCTCTTCTTCAGCATCTCCCTTCCAGGGAGACCATGAAAAGCAGTGAACGCTTTCCCAATTAGCAGCATTAAGGGCTGCTCTATCTTTGATCACCCCCAAACAGACAGATGTCCCTAGGGGTATGAATTTCCTAAAACATGGAAGGTAATGAGGCTTGTGGGTGAATTCATTATCTTTAGGTAGCATGCCTTTGAACTACCGTAGAGCAAAGGCTACACAAACCCTAGATTTTATCCTATAGCAGCCACAGGGCATAAAGGAGAAGCATGGGCCCAACGTCAGAATACCTGGGTTCATTCACTGGTAAACGTCCACTGAGTGCAGACTATGAGCCAGACACAAAGGACCAAGGACTGACACTATCATTTCATTGTAGCTGAATGACCTTGGCAGAGATATCCGGTGTCATGTTTAATATGTATTTTAAAATGCACTTCTCAAATTGTCTGCACTGTACAATATTGTGTACAATGGTTATTCTACAGGTCTGAGCAGTCCATAGGATATGGTCTAGAAGACAAGGCTCATCGCACATCTCAACACGCTGACGCCTCCCAATCTGGAGGGGAGGGGTCAAGCGTATCCACGTTGGTG